GGAGTATTAAATTGAAAAGTAATGAAATTTGTAAAGATGTGAGTTTTTTGTATCTAATAAGGCAGATGAAGTTCTTAATTTTATTAAGAATTATATCTAATATTAGTTTGGTTGAGCCAGTTCCATCAAGATAAATACCTAAGTATCTAATAATATCATTTGGTTTTCTGAGTAAAATAGTTTGATTATTGAAGGTCAAAGGATTGGGTAAAGATTTGTATGATTTAGGGCAAATGTGAAGTAAATCAGATTTAGTGGAATTAATATCTATGTTGTTGATTTTGTAAAGTTTAGAAGTGTTATTAAAGATATTTTGCATAGTTTTTGAGTCTTCGCAAAGCCATGTTGTATCATCCATATAGGCTAATAGTAAAATTGAAATGCTTGCAGAAGTAGTATTAGAAATGATATCATGTGGAGATTGTGAAGCAATTTTAAGTATTTGATGTTGATATTTTTGATGAATGAAGGAAAGTATAGGATCATAATAAATTTTCTAAAGTAGTAATGAATAGGAAGAAAAGTAATTACCTAGGCTTTTATAATATATTATATTTATTCTTATTAAATATGCAATTTTCATCTTATTTTTTGCTATTTGAAGCAATTGTATATGCATTTTGTCAATCATTTTCTTAGACATCTTTGTAACCTGCAACATGAGTATAATTTAGGAATTATACAAATATTGTTTATGTAGAACACTTGATTGATTGTTATCTTTTTAGTGATAAAGCCTTTATATGTTAATCAAACAATTTCTTTTGACTTCGCTTTAGTTGCTTTTTCTTTCATCTTGCTATTCAACCAGATTCCAAGGAATCTTGTTATCTTTCTTCATATATCCATTCTTTTTCAAAGAAAATTTTTAGAGTCTTTTAAGTTCATTGTGATTAGCTTTGTCTTCTTTTCATTAATTTGAATGTTGTTTATTTTGAAAATTCTTCTACAATTTAAAGTATTCTTTCTATCTGCTCTCTTTTTTCTGCTATCCATATCATATCATCTGTAAAAGCTACTACTGCTTATATCCATATGTTGTTGATTACAAAATTTGAGTTTAGGTCTAATGACATTTTATAGGCTATTGTGTATCTTAAATTAGCATCTCTTTAAATTCTTTCTAGAAGTGGGTCATAAAAAATTCTTAAACTAATAGCAAATTACTTCTTTACCTTGTTCTATCTCTTCTTGTATTTTAAAAAAGTTTGTTGGATCCAGACCTATAATAATTCTGAATTGTCAGTTTTTAAAAAGATTAAGTATAAGTCTAATTGTTATTCTAGACAGCATGATTCTTTCTGTTGCTCTTCATAAAGCTTTTAGTAATACTAAATTGAAGGCCTTTTTTATATCTTAAAATATAATACATAATTCTTTGCTATTATTTTTTGTATTCTCTATAATTGTATTTAAAATATTCATTGGCTATTTTTAGAATTTATCAATAAGAAACTAGCAAAATTCATAACTTTTAGTATATTTTTTTCTAAAAAAACTTTAGCAAGTTTTTTGGTAAATACTTTAGTTATGCACTTGCAGAATGTTTATATATCTATTTAAAAATTGAAATTTTAAATATTTTGCTTCAGACTCACAATGCTACGCATTAGCTTAGTAATACAATTGGCCTGACATTATTTAAATTATAGTATCAGTCTTCCTCTTTTGAAATTGTATATATCTGGGACAATTTTCACTTCATTAGAACCATTACTGTTTATATATATATGCTTATAATAGCTCTAAAAACTTCTTATACTTGTTTACTTGCTGCTTTAATTAGTGTAATTGTTATACCTAAGATACATGGTGCTGTGTTTTTTCAGGTTTGTTAGCATCTTAGACCATTCTATTTCTGTAATGTTTTTATTAAAACTATTTTACCAGACCTTTTGTATTTTCTTTATAGGACTATATTCTTTAGCTCATTCTTCATCTATTAACTTCTCTTGAAAATTTCTTGCTCTGAATTGATTTTGGAAATGTCTACTTGTACTCTCCAATACTTCCTTTGAACTGATAATCAATCTTATTGTAAAGTCTGTCTATATTAATTTTTTTTGATTAGCTTATCGAGTAAGCTTGTTAACATCTTTTCTTGTTGTTTATCTATTATTTGACATCTTTGTTTAATGTTTATATTGATTTTATCCTTTCTAATTCTCACAAGGTCTTCTATTTTTTTTTTATTAAAATTTTCTAATAACTCTTTAGGTCATCAATTATTTCTTGTGTCTAACAACTTTAGATTTTCTCTATATAAGTTTCACAACAGAAATTAATATATTTAATTTGTTCATTAAACTCTTGAATATCCTTGGTTATATATCGTAGTTTGAGGTTTTTTCTATCTAAGCTTAATTATCTACCTAAATAGACTGTGAGTTGTAATAGTTTAGATTTCTTTTCTTGTTTTATTTTAGTTGCTAATATATTTGATATTTTCTTTTTAGATAGCATTTTCAGTTAAGATTATTTAATGCTAATCAAATTAATAATTAATATAGTTAAATAATTAAATAGTTAAAAAATTTTAGATACTAGTATAAAAATTTTATTTGCAACTTAATAGCTATATAATATAAAATCTACTTTAAACTTGTATTATAATATTTTATAATAGATTTTTTTAGACAAATAAATTAATTTTTTAGCTAATTCAAAATTTGATTTAAGTTTTTATTCTATTTATATGATCTATTAATTTTTTTTAAATTTACTTAGTATATAGTCTATTAAATAGTTATAAACAATAATTTGTTTGTATATATTATTTCTTAAATATATTTGTATTAGATCTAATCTGATGTACATTAGATACTGATTTTTAGATAACGCATATTATCTGTCAATCTGTTATTTGATATGTGTTAGTTAGAATCTGAGATGTGTCAATTGTAAACTGATGCACTATTAAAATTATATGCCTAAATATTATTTAGAATTATATGCTTAATTACTATTAAAATTTTACTTTGCATTTATGCATTAATCTTTATTTAAACAAAATAATTACTATAGCAAAAATAAGATCACAGCTATATGCAGTACTAAAAAAGTTTAATGTTCAAGAAGTAAAAACAAGACCACAGTTATTAGCATCAAATAAATCTAACATTTATGAGAAGCAAGAACAAGATTATAATTATCAGTGCTAAAAAATCTAATTTAATAGAGATAAGAATAAGATCACAGTTATTAGCATCAAAAAAAATCTAATGTTTAAGAGAAATAAGAATAAGATTACAGTTATCAGCATTAAAAAAATCTAAAGTACAAGAAAGGTAAAAACAAAATCAGTTATATATAGTATCTAAAAAGAACCAATACTTAAGAAGAGTAAAAAAAAGACCACAATTATTTGCAGCACAGAAAAAATTTAACATTTAAGAGAAATAAAAATAGCACAGTTATCAACATCAAAAAATCTAATATTTAAAGAGAGGTAAGAACAAGATTACAGTTATCAGTACTAAAAAAAACTTTAACATTCAATAAAGATAAGAATAAGACCACAGTTATATACAGCACCAAATAAAATCTAATGTTCAAGAGAGGTAAGAACAAGATTACAGTTATTAGCACCAAAAGAATCTAATATTTAGGAGATGTAAGAACAAGATCACTATTATTAGTACCAAAAGAATCTTATGTTCAAGAGAGGTAAGAATAAAATTACAATTATTAGCACTAAAAGAAAATCTAAAGTCTAAAAGAAGTAAAAAACTAGATCAATTATATACAATGCCAAAAAACCTTCAATATTCAAGAGAGGTAAGAACAAGATTGCTGTTATTAATGCTAAAAAAGTTTAATGTTCAAAAGAGGTAAAAGCAAAACTACAGTTATATGCAATGCCAAAAAAACTAATATTTAAGAAAAGTAAGAATAAAATTATAGTTATTAGTGCCAAAAGAAAGTTCAAAATTCAAGAGAAATAAGAACTAGATTAGTTATATGTAGCATCAAAAAAACTCCCAATATTCAAGAGAAATAAGAACAAGATCATAATTATTAGCACTAAAAAAACACTACTATTCAAAAAAAATAAAAACAATACCACAGTTATATGAAGTGCTAAAAAAATCCAACATTCAAGAGAATTAAAAATAAGATTACAGTTTTTATTACCAAAAGAAAATTCAACATTTAAAAAATAAAAACTGAATTAGTTATATACAGTGTCAAAAAAAAATTAACATTCAAGAAAAATAAAAATGAGATTACAGTTATTAGTATCAAAAAACCCTAACATTTAAGAGATATAAAAACAAAACTACAGTTATATACAGCACCAAAAAAAATCTAATGTTTAAGAAAAAAAAGAACAAAATCACAGTTATTAGCATTAAAAAAATCTAACATTTAAGAAAAATAAGAACAAAATCACAGTTATTAGCACTAAAAAAAATATAATATTCAAGAAAAATAAAAATAAGATTATAGTTATTAGCACCAAAAGAAAATCTAAAATTTAAAAAAGTTAAAAACCACAAAATTACAGTTATTAGAGCCAAAAAATTATTAACATTCATGAGAGGTAAGAACAAGACCACAGTTATATGCAGCATCAAAAAAAATCTAAAATTAAAAGATGTAAAAATAAGATTACAGTTATTAGTACCAAAAGAAAATCTAAAGTTCAAGAAAGATAAAAACTAGATCAGTTATATGCAGCATCAAAAAAACCTTTAACATTTAAAAGAAGTAAGAACAAGATCACAGTTATTAGTACTGAAAAAACCCCAATATTCAAAAAAGCTAAAAACAAGACCACAGTTATATGCAATGCCAAAAAAAATTAATAGTTAAGAGAGGTAAGAATAAGATTACAGTTATATGCAGCACTAAAAAATATTCAATGTTTAAGAGAGATAAAAACAAATTATAGTTATCAGCACTAAAAAAATCTAACATCCAAAAGAAATCAAAACAAGATCACAGTCATTATACTTATGCTTTAAGTGCCTTCTAGTTTTACTTTTTGGTTTCTAATTTCATAGTATAGAACCTTTTTCTCTGGTGCAACTCCAGCAGTCAGGTTGGTAGATCCTTCTTGCCTCAGGATTTTCATCTAGTTCTTCAATCTCTGGTTCTAGCTTTCTACAGTATTGTTAAAGATCTTCACTATCTCCTTGCTTGGGTTTTAATAAACAGGTTTTAATTATTCGTTTCTTGGATTTGAATCACCCAAGAGCTTCCATTTTGAGATAGTAGTACCAAGTGCTGCAAAAAGTAGGGAAATTGACAAATTTTTTAAAATTAATTTTTTTTTGCATAATTAATTTAGAATAAGATCAGGATTATTTTTTACTTAAGACATAAAAGTAGTTGTTTTAATAAAATTTTGCAATATAGCTCTTCAAAATTTGCAATTTCTTATGATTTATTATAAAATTTATAACAATTGACCTTTTTTGTAGCACTCAGCCTATATACATGCAATATACAAACACTGGCTTTGTTTTATAATCTGGTTAATAAATTGACTTCGATAGTTTGAGTTACTTTTACGTTATTGCTTTGAAGTTTCACCTTTCGCATAAAGTTTCGTTTTTTAGGTGCTTTGTTATTACACCAAAAGTTTCGTCTTTCATCACGCAAAAGAGATTTCGCCTAATTGTAAATTGACATTCCAATCGAAGATGGCTGTAAACTATACTTTCGTGGCATTAGAAAAACCACATAAAAATTTGTATGTCCATGTGATATCGATATTTCAGTTGATGAATTTAACATTATTGTACATTTTTTTTATATACAGATTATTATTATTATTATTATTGTTTGTGCTAAGCAAAGGCTTTGAAAGTCTGATTATGCTGGGTAATGATTTTAAAAAATAAACTTATTGTTTATATCTGAGTGAAGAAGAGGTGATATTGGCTTTGAAAATACATATTTATATAAATGTACGCACTTTTACTTGCTACTTAATAAAATGTATAAATAGCCAAGGCGTTCCTCTAGGAATCGTCGTTATCCTTTTTTTTTAAATAAATTAAAAAAAAGAAAACAGTATACTATTAAAAAACAACCTTTTTGATTTAAAAAAATGCAACCCGCAAAAGTCTTAACAGTTTTGATTTTAATCGTCCAATTGATACTTATTACTCCTTCCTGGGCACTTGAAAAACGAGGCATTAAATAAGAAAAATTATTAAAATAATGATGATTTTCTTGAAATGAAACAGTAAATGAAGTTTTTAATTAATATTTTTTAGTTTTGCGTCGTCGTCCTATTAGTGAAGTTAGAAAAAGAGGTATTAGATTAGAAATCATATTAATTTATTAAATTAATATTAACAAATTAATAAAACTTCTCTAATTATATAAATTAATTTTATTAGAACGTGAGTGTTAATTTATGTAATCATAATGTTTATAGTTTTGGTTTGTCCCAAGAATTAAATGATGCACTAATTAAACAACTCTAATCATTTAATTGTTCAGCGTAAGTATGAAGTTTGATTCTGTTCACTTTAACGATTGTGTTTCAAGAGAACGTGTGATTAACCGTAACCATTTTGATCGTTCAATATATTACCAAGCGTGAGTATGAAGTTTGATTCTGTTCGCTTTAAAGTTTGTGTTTCAAGAGAATGTGTGATTAACCGTAACCATTTAATCGTTCAATAAATTACCAGAGTGAGTATGAAGTTTGATTCTGTTCACTTTAACGTTTGTGTTTCAAGAGAATGTGTGATTAACCGTAATCATTTAATCATTCAATACATTACCAGGGTGAGTATGAAGCTTGTTTCTGTTCACTTTAACGTTTGTGTTTCAGGAGAATATGTGATTAACCGTAACCATTTAATCTTTCAATAAATTACCAGAGTGAGTATGAAGTTTGATTCTGTTCGCTTTAACGTTTGTGTTTCAAGAGAATGTGTGATTAACCGTAACCATTTGATCGTTCAATAAATTACCAGTGTGAGTATAAAGCTTGATTCTGTTCGCTTTAATGTTTGTGTTTCAAGAGAATGTGTGATAAACCGTAATCATTTGATCATTCAATGCATTACCAGGGTGAGTATGAAGTTTGATTCTGTTCGCTTTAATGTTTGTGTTTCAACAGAATGTGTGATTAACGTGATCATTTGATCGTTCAATACATTACCAGGGTGAGTATAAAGCTTGATTCTGTTCGTTTTAACGTTTGTGTTTCAAGAGAATGTGTGATAATCCGTAACCATTTGATCGTTCAATACATTACCAGGGTGAGTATGAAGTTTGATTCTGTTCGCTTTAACGGTTGTGGTTCAAGAGAATGTGTGATAAACCGTAATCATTTGATCGTTCAATACATTACCAGGGTGAGTAAATGTTTGATTCTGTTCGCTTTAATGTTTGTGGTTCAAGAGAATGTGTAATTAACCATTTGATCGTTCAATACATTATCAGAGTGAGTATGAAGTTTGATTCCGTTCGCTTTAACGTTTGTGTTTCGAGAGAATGTGTGATTAACCGTAACCATTTTGATCGTTCAATAAATTACCAGTGTGAGTATGAAGTTTGATTCTGTTCACTTTAACGTTTGTGTTTCAAGAGAATGTGTGATTAACCATAATCATTTGATCGTTCAATAAATTATCAGTGTGAGTATGAAGTTTGATTCTGTTCGCTTTAATGTTTGTGTGTGATTAACCGTAACCATTTTGATCGTTCAATAAATTACCAGAGTGAGTATGAAGTTTGATTCTGTTCATTATAACGGTGTGATTAACCGTAACCATTCGATCGTTCAATAAATTCCCAGTGTGAGTATGAAGTTTAATTCTGTTCGCTTGTTTCAAGATAATGTGTGATTAACCGTAACCATTTGATCGTTCAATAAACTACCAGAGTGAGTATGAAGTTTGATTCTGATCGTTTTAACGTTTGCGTTTCAAGAGAATGTGTGATTAATTGATCGTTCAATACATTACTAGCGTGAATATAAAGTTTGATTCTGTTCACTTTACCATTTGTGTTTCAAGAGAATGTGTGATTAACCATGATCATTTGATCATTCATTACATTACTAGTGTGAGTATGAAGTTTGATTCTGTTTGCTTTAATTTGTCTTTCAAGAAAATATATTATTTATTATAATTATTTGATTATTCAATACATTACCAGGATAAGTATGAATTTTGATTTTATTTTCTTTAATATATTTGGATTTAAAAAAATATATTAATCATAATTATTTAAAGGGCGAATCTATTTGTCGCCGGCGGTGACAGTACCGGGTTGCAATTGGCCAATCACATCACAGGATCAGGTGTAACGTTTGTGTAACCCGAAAACGAAGAAAACATTGAAATTTTTCAAAAATTCGCCATAGCTCAAAATTTTACCTATGAAACCACCTTTTATGTTCTAATAAAAAAAATTTCTTGCAAAATTTTACTATAACATCTATTCTACCCCCAACCTTAATTCAACTTTCACCCTGACCCTAACGACAATTAACTTTAGTGATTGTTTTGATTCCATAACACGATCTGGTTGGTCAATTGCAATCCGGTGACTGTCACCGCCGGCGACAACTAGATTATTTCTTATTTAAATTATTAATAAATTATTAGAATAAAAAAATTTAATTTTATCATTTTAATGCTTGTGGTTTAAGTAAAATGTAAATAATAAAGATAAATATTATACTTAATTTTGTTTTTTAAAAATATATAATAAAGTATTCAATTGTTAATAAATTATTAGAATAAGTATAAAGTTATTTAATTTATTTTAATTTGTATTAAAATTAATTATTTATATTTTGGTTTTAGTTTTTATATTATTATATTAAGATATTTTTTTTATTATAATATATAGTAAAAATTTTTTTTATAAAATATTTATTTTTAGGGTTATATAATTTATCACAGGTGCATTGTAATGCACTCTCTGATTAACCAATTAAAATGTAAGATCAGATGTAATGTTACTTAATCAGAAAAATTCAAAACAAGTGTTTATTTTGCCAAAAATCTCTTATAACTCAAAATTTCATATATGAAATTACCTTTTGGGTTTTAACAAAAAAATTCTTTTAAGATTTTACTATAAGTATATCTTTTATATCTACCTTAACCTTATCTAATATTAATCTTTATCACATAAAAAACCATTGTTTTGATTTTATGTTATATCTAATCTTATGGGGTGCATTATAATGCACCTATGATAAATAATTAAATCTAAAAATTTATACTCAATTATATTTATTATATACAAAATATATAAAAATTTGTTTAATTATATTTGTTATACACAAAATATATAAAAAATTTATACTTAATTAAATTTTTTTTTTGAATATTAATGGTGAGACCATGTCTCTGTTTTTATTGAAATTTAATTAAAATCTTTTATACAGAAAAGAATTACACCTTAAACTTCATATCATACAATAGCAAGAAAAGAGACTCAGACTAGTTTATCTGCGGCCTAAACCAACTTGGGTGGCCACAGCTCACCTAGATTTGTAGATTAGAAATTATATATGTTGGACTTATTTGGTACTTAATCCATAAAGGGTACCAAAGTT